GATTTTCTCATCCATGTCATCAAATTTTAATAGTGTTACTTGCAATTTAAATAATAAAAATCAAGTCAATAACTCATGCAAATGTAAGGGACCAACTTGATAAAAATAAAACTTTAAAGGTTAAATTGATAATTGAGATAAATTTGAAAGACTAAAAGTTTTATTATCTCTAAAAATAATATAATTTATGATAACTTTTAACTAAAATTTATATCATAAAATAAATATTATTCACAAAAACTTGTATATGTTTGAGTTGGGTCGGGCAGGTTTTGACCCTTGCCCAATATTTGATTTGATGTACCCAAACAAATCAAGTGAGGCTAGATTAATTAGGCTTTCAAACATTGTACAAAATCCTAAATACATGTAATATAAATATCATAGAGTGAAAAAATGAAGTGATATAGGCTATATTATAGGATTAAACTAAGCAAACAACTCAAAATTTATTATATGTATTTTTATTTTGGTTAGTTTGTTATATTTGTACTATTGTATATTAATAATAAACTTTTTATAAATTTTTAAATTTTTAATAATAAATTCTTTATGTATCAATGTGAACCGATCATCTTTTTAAATTTTCAAAAATTTAGTCCATATTTTTTAGGTAGAAGATTTTTTTTTCTAGTGGGCCAATTTATATTTATGACATATATACACACAATTCATATATACACATATTTTTTTCAACCCATATATTTCCCCGAGAAATATTTAAGTAGACCAAGTGTACTATATCATTTGTGATCTATCCAATAAAAACATGACATTTAGATTGTATTAAATTCAAATTAGTTTTTATATTAATGATATTAAACAGAGAAAGTGCAAGAAATCAAATGTGTATTTTGTTATAAAAATAAAATTAATTTAAAAAATGTTATACAAGATTTTATTTAGATTATTTAAAGTATTTTAATTAGATAGATTGCAAATAATATGATAAATCAGGTCTCATTAAATATTTCTCATTCCCCCCACTAAATAGGTCTTACAGAGACGTATAAAAATAATTGCAAGATATTAGCCAAAAAGGACAGAAAAATAGAAGTGTGGGGTGAATCATTTACATTCAATTTTTGAATACAGAGAATATATTTGGAAAAATGTATAAAGTTCAAGGTGTATTAATATAATTATATATGAATCTTCTCATGTTATTTTCTATCACTATGAATATTTGAATGAAAAGAATCTGAAGGCAAACGACCGAACCATATACCTAAAATAGTCAAAATGATTCCAACCACGTGAGCCTTCAAAAATTTAAGATATTTATAAATTATTAAAAATTAAAAATCGTTGGTAAGAAATAATTAACAACATATTACAAAACATTTTAAATATAATTATATACATGAATTTCATGCCCTATTAAGAGCAGTAAAAGAAAGCCAATAATACCACTTATGAAAGTTGTCGATCAAAACATTTTAGTTAATAATATTTATAAAAGATTGATAAATGTTAGGGCACAATAATATCATACAATTTATATAACCGATCCCACCTAATGAGATAAAGTTAATTTTTATTGTATATAAGTGAATTTCATATGCACACGATCAACAAAAGAATATTATTGATAATGGCTTTATTGGTAAAAACTCAAACTGAAATATATCTATACGTAAACGTTTAAATTGAGAAAAAAGATTTATGAGAGATTAAATTCAATACTATATCCATGAGAGAACAAATTAAAATAGCCAATTTTATTTTATAGAAGGTTAAATTGGGATATATTCTTTAGGAACTAAATTAAGGTTTTAGCCATTTTGAAAGATCTTTTAGTCATTTTGAAAGATCTGCATGTGTTTCAGCATACGTGGGATACCTACAGAGCTGCACATGGGTAGGGTTTGGCCACACTTCACCGTTGTCTAGTGCCTGCCCGATGCGTGATTTTAGCTAGCCTAATATCTGGGTGTTTGTGCTAGGTTTGACTCAATATACCCAAAAATATTTACAAATATTTTCTTGAAAAATATATAAAAATTTATTTTTTTAAAAAATATAATTATTATCATTTAAAATATATTCTTTATAAATAAACAATTATCAATTTTTTACATAATATTAAGTTAAAAATAAATTTTAAATTTTAAAATAAATTTAAAAATTTTATTGATAAGGAACATCCAAAAAGATTATAAAAATAAGAGATAATGGAACTGTTAGTTCTTTAAATTTGGCTCAATTATTAATTTAATTTTTTAAGTTTAATTTTTATTAATTTGATCTAACGTTTTTCTAAATTATCATTTTATTTTTTTTAAGTTTTTAAAAACAAATTTACTCTTAAATTAATCAAAGTATAATATATTTTGATGATTGCATTTATATATCACTAAATGAGAACAAATTAGCCTTTAAATTTGTTTAATATTTGCTAAATTAGAAATCCTTATGCAGCGTTTTGTTCTTTTATTTTTTTTATATTTTTGAGTATATTTTTTTATCTCAATAATTACACTTTTTTTATTAATTTATATGGCTACTATCAAGATTTTCTCATCCATGTCATCAAATTTTAATAGTGTTACCTGCAATTTAAACAAGAACCAAGTCAATAACTCATGCCAATGTAAGAAACCAACTTGATAACAATTAAACTTTAGGAGCTAAATTGATAATTGAGATAAAATTAATAGACTAAAAATTTCATTATTTCTAAAAATAATATAGTTTATGATAACTTTCAACTAAAATTTATACCATAAAATACATATTATTTACAAAAAAAATTATATATGTTTGGGTAGGGTTGGGTTTGAGCCCTGCTTGATCTTCAGTTGGATGTGCCCAAATGAATCAAGGCTAGGCTAATTGGGCTTTTAGATATTGAGGACAACCCTAGATGCATGTAATATAAATATTATAGAGTGAAAAAATGAAGTGAAAAAAGTTTGTGAATAAAAATATTACTCATACTTATTTCTAAATATAATTAAAAAGATATTAAATATTGATTATAGGGTACGTTTGAACTAATGAGGATTTAGATTTGGATTTGTACAAAATCTCTCATTTGGATACACAAAAAAAAAATGAATTTGAATTTGATTCAAATATAAATCAATTTCTTATTACAATTATCTTGTAATTTCAAAATTCCTGTATGTTGTAATCATTTAAAATTTTAGTCACTTGAAATATTTTGTTCTCGTCATGTTTTCACTATTAATACTTATATGATTCTCATATTTTTTTTCATTTCTCATTCTCATCTCTTATCAATTAAAAAATAAATATAAACTCATCATTGTCAATTTTTTATTTTCATTTTGAATATCAACTTATCTCTTCTTTTTATTTAAAATTTTTTAAACTACTTAAATAAAAAATTTTAAATATATAAATTTTAAATGTGAGATTTGAAATGCAAGATTTCATATCTAAAGTTCAAATTTAAATCTATCAATTCAAACACTATTTAAGTATTTATTCTTTGCCCCATACTAAGCACGTCTTGAAACAGGAGTACAATGTTCTAAAGTGTATATATACTTATTTAGGACTACAATGTCATTTTTTTAGGGTTAAATGATAATGTGAACTCTAAATTATAAGCTTAAGGGCAATTTGAACCTGAACTCATATTTGATACATTTTGAACCGTGAACAATTAAACTTGGGGCAATCTTAACTCCATCATTAAGAGCTGATAATTCGGGCGAGTCAACCTTATTCGAGTCAAGTTCAATTTAGGTTGGACTTAAAGTATCATCTTTTAAAAAAAATTTACATAGTTAAGTCCAACCCTAATTTTTTTGGTTGGATTCGGATTGGATTGTTAAATTTGGCCAAAATTACCTATTCTACTACATACATATAGAGTTGAAAATTTTAATGATTAGGTTTATTTAGATTGAATTTAAAATATTCTATCATCTTAAAATAGCCTATATAATCAAGTCTAGTCTCAACTTTTTTTGAGTGGTTTGAATTACTAGCTCTAATTGAGACTAAACACTGTAACTTTGAGTGTGAGCCCTCTCTCCCTCTCTCTCCTCGCACCTTGCTGTTTGCCTCCCCCCACCACCCCCGCCCAAAAAAGAAAAATCTCGAAACCTCTATCGCCGCCAGAGAATCTGGACAATGCCAAGAATGCATTCGATGGAGCTTGATCGATGCCACCAATGGTCATAAACCCTCTTTCATTTTGACCTCAATGCAAATAACCGGATTTATTAAGATTTTAAACTGAATCAAGCGCAGTCGAGCAATTTAGCAATTTACAACAAGCATACCTTGATGGAGGGATATGAGATGAGCTGCATCATGTTGATGAGAAACAGAAACAATTGCTCGAAGAGATTATCGGAGGCCAGGAGGCAAAATCTAACACGAGTGGAGGAGAAGGGGAGATGAGTCTAGTGAAGGAGAAGAGAAGCATTTCGTTGGCGAGATGCTGTGATGCGCCTTCCTCGTTCACAATTATTTGCGGGAATTTTCAAATGCCTAATGCAAGGGGCGATTCTCCTCTTCTTCTTGCGTTTCTCTGTCCACGCCTCCAGTGTCCAGGTAGTCGGCCACGTGTGAGCCTTACTTTCGGTCCAGATTCTCCGAGTTTCGTGTAATTGGAGAGAGAGGGAAGGCCTCGTATGACATGGATGAGCGATTAAATGGATCCCATTTGGCTCTCCCTTTTGCTTAAACTAACATTAGTTCCAATTTAATGATGGGAACAAGATTATCTCTGGTTTAATTGTTCAAGGTGCAAAATCTATCCAATATAAGTTTAAAGTTTGAATACCTCCTAAGCCTATAATTTAAAATTCAAATTGGCATTTAAACCTTTTTTTCAAAGAACATCATCATCGAAAAATAAAAACTATCATCATCATCATCAATATTCAATATCAAATGTAGACGTGTTAGGCACCTTATTCACAATTCATGAACACCATATTTTATTTTACACTCTGCACCTACTCTAATGAAAAATATTAAAGAAACTCCATAAATATCGTTCCATTAGAATAGTAAAATAAATAAATAATAACTTTGGGTGTTTGATATTGATATCAACAGTGAGATATGCTCAATTATAAAACAAACATTATTTTGAGTACAATTCCATCTCTCAGCTGCAGAAAGATGCTCATATAGCAGCAGTCAGCGGATGGCAAAATAGTCAACAGCTTTACCATAGCACCAAACTATTTAAAGCTGCAACTCTTTCCAGTATTCATTTCAACATGGTGAAGACTTCATGAATAAAACTTCATATAAAATAAATAGAAAAAGGTAAAGAAGCATGGATTTTGTAAACGAGACTAACAGAAGAAGATTGAGTTACACAGCAAAGGTAATCATAAAAAATTCTGTGAATCCTCATTTTACCCAACAAAGAGGGTTGCCCAACTTTGAAGAAAGTTCCTCCTCGTACTCATGGTGCAATTACAAAAAGAGGCTGCAAGAAACACAAGTATTTCAGTTAGAGAAATGAACCATTTATTTAATTATTTGATTTTGGACCAAATTTAGATGCAGCTTTTTCCATGTTTGCTATCAGATTCTCCAGTAAGACTAAAATTCTACCATGTAGAATAACCTTAACCAGTCAACACTCAACAACTTAATGATAAATTGTATAGAATACCCATATGTTACAATTTTATCAAAATATTTAATAACAAACACAAAGTACTTTATTTTACAAGTCTCATTTATTGATTTGTCCTTTCTACAGTATGGAGAGAGAGAGAGAGAGAGTACCGAATCTACGCTGACTGATTTCCCATCTTCCAAGAGTATCTCGACTATGGTGCCTGATTGATCAGCCTGGGAACAAAATAGGCAAACACGTGATGTGAATTTTGGTCTTTATTTTAGCCACGGGACTATAGATTAAAACACTTCAAAGAGATGAAAATGAAGTAAAACAGAAATCGTATAAACCGTTCCTTAAGTCTGCTTTAATAGGTGCCATACTGATAGGCCCTTTTTATATAATAGTACCATTAATACTGAGTAAACCCGAGTAAATGGAAAAGCAAAAGAGGATACAGGGAAAAAATTAGAACCAGTAACATGCAAGAACAGACGAAAAGACAGTAGACATACTTCAATCTCATTCATCAGTTTCATAGCCTCAATAATGCATAAGACCTGGCCTTTCTGCACTTTATCTCCCACCTGAAGCAGCAAGAAGTTAAATAAGACTATTCTATGTGGTAAAAATAATATACTATGTTGATAATGACATAGTTAAATAATCATTAGCATATGTAAATTGACAAATTATAAGAAAAACAAGCACAACATTCATGTATCATAATACTGATGCATACCTTGACAAATGGTGGTTCACCAGGTGCTGCACTTCGATAAAAGGTTCCAGCCATTGGACTCTTCAGTGGTGGATGAGATGAGGTACTTGCTTTCCCTGGTGAAGGTGAGGCAGGCGCTGCTTTTGAAGGTGGAGGGCTTGCAGGAGCAGGAGCAGCAACTGGTACTGGGGATGGAGAAGGAAGAGTGGGATAAGGTAAAGATGCTGGCACGGGAGCTACTGCTGTGGTTGGTGGAGGCTGCAAAGCTTCCTTTTTCCTTATCAAGAGCTCATAGTCTGATTGCTTAAGTTGCAACTCCACAATATCTCTGGAATCCACAAGCCTGCAACCATGGAAATGATATGTCTCTAACATGGAAATATGGAGACCATGAGATTGCATGCAAATGTCAATTGCTTAGTCTTACTTGACAAGATTAGATACTTGATTCATGAATGCAGAAATTGAAGCTGCATCCACAGAAGTGCTTGGATCAGAGAGTTTCCCATCATCTTTCTCTTGTGATGATGCAACTTCAGATCCGGTGTTAAGTATGGGTGCAGAGTTTGAAGGATCTTTGACAGCAGTAGCCTAATGAAAAGCAGGGTAAGAAATACTGGTACAATCTTGTAAAGAATTTATTTGAATATGATAATTGAGAAGATTTCATGATGATTTTCATCTAAAATACATTTCCTAGAAGTCTGACCTCATTCGGCTGCGCTTGAAACCTCAAGGAAGAAAATTGCTTTTTGTTAAGGCTCTGCAGGAGACAATCACATAGAACAGCGGAATATTAATAATCCATAACATAAAGCTGTAAAGTCAATGAAAATGTTTATTTGTATCCAATCAATTAAAAATCATCATCAAACTAAATGTCATGTCACTGATAAATCATGATTTTTTTCAATTTTATGCACACGGGATATTATTTAAGCACTGATCTACTGGTGCGGTTCCTGAATGCATATTTCTAACAGATGCGCTCACAAATCTGTTGAATAAAATCCAAAATATGCACTTCACTGACTGAAATTATTGCTGGTGATAATACGCAGAGAACTCTGCAGTAATATAAAAATTTCAAATTCAACATCAAGCTTCATGGCATCGAAGCAATGCACGTTACTGCAAATATAGTTTTAAATTTAACATTGATAACCTATAGCAGAATTGCAGCCTAATATTATGCAAGACCTATTTAAGTTTCTAGTTTCATACAACAGAAGGCCATTTGTGATGTTCAAAAAGAAGCAAATTCAAAATACAAATTAGTCCATGACCATTCAGAAATCCCAGGGAAATGGGGCATACAAAAAGTATGGCAGTAATATCACTTCTTCAATATTCTTTTAGCTGAGGATGTTTCAAATCAAACGTTATATTTATTAACTCTTGTTAGAAATATTTTAATTCCCAGGGACCACTATATAAGCCATCCGTAATAAGTGAGATGCTGAAAAAGGTTTCCAATGAAGATGAGTTTTTGGAACGAAAGAATAGCTCTTTTCCGTTTATCAAAACCAAGGGTTCCCTAGCCTAGCGTGGAATTTTGGTTAATACTCATTCATCATTCTGATAATGATGAAATAATTGAAGTTTTCTTTTTGGCCAGGATGGAATAATTGAAGTTAGCACAGACAGTAAGATAAAGTTGAAATGCTAAAAACGAAAATAATTTAGCCTCAAGGCACTCAAATGCCCAAAGACGAAGAACTAAAATTATATCCTTCTCTGTCTTCCATAAAAAGAAGAGGGAAATGCTAAAAAATGGGATTCGGAAGCAACCCCTAGCTTCTTCATCATATTATTACTTACTACTTCTATAATCAGAAGATAAAATATCAATAACATAACAAAGCATAGCCATAGCCACAACATTAGCCAAAATAGGAACAAATCGATGATGAGGTATTCATCAAAGCCAGACACATAATTAAAACTCAACATTGAATAAAATCATCAGATACCCGAGTCCCAAATAACGCTGGATCAGATTGGCACGGCTTCAAGCTCAACCCATTCTGAAACGACAGAATCTGCTTGCCGCGCTGCGGATTCTGCCAGCCGAATCCTAGATGGAGAGGAGAAACACATTTGGGGCAGGGGACAGTAAACGAGGCCATTGGAACGAAGCCAACCCGCGAACCTGCTTCCTCGTTGTCCTCAGCTCAAAATGGGTAGCTGATCTCTGCAAAGGAATGAAGAAAGAGGCGAAAATAATAAAGAAGGAGGCGATGAGATCGAAGAGAAGAGGAAGAGTGATGTAGAATACGAAGAAGGAGGAGGATGAAGAACAAGCGTAAGCTATAGAGGCTAACTAAACAGTGTCGATGATTCCAATGTAGCAGTGAGTGAATATAGCTATCTTTCAACGTCACTAGTTTAAAGCGTTGAACTAACCTGGAACGATATAGGCTTTGGCTTACTGGTTTCTTGCATTTTTTTTTTTGGAGCAGAGAGAGAGAGAGAGAGAGAGAGTTGCTCCGACTTCGGTTAAGTGGGGCTATGGTCTTGAAGATGGACGGTGATAAAGGACGCTGGGTTTGATGATCCAACGGCTACTGCTATCATTGTTAGGTGGTCTTGCAGGCACATCTCAAGGGTCTGGTTTGTCTTGCCCTCCATTTTGCGGCCAAGGGTTACTGTATCACATAATTAAATCTGCCTTACATTTAGTATGTGACGGTAATTCAAATAAAATTACTTTTAATAAAAAATACATATGGGTGATCGAAAAAGAGTCAAATTGAATGTTAACTAAAACAGATTAGCTAATCTAAACTTTTATAATTTAAATGGTTAGACCAATGATCAAACAAATAAAATAATAATTAAATAAAAAATAATATCAAATGCATATGATATATATAATATTTATATATAAAAAAGAAATAAAATAATAACAAAATGATGCAATGTTAGGATAAATCAATAATATTATAAATTATAATTTTATAATATGTCATATATAATTGAATTTTGGTTAAATCAAGTATTGCAAGTAAATTATCTATATTTGCCCATATAACTATCAATATCTTATCAAAAAAATGGTTTTAAATAATATTGTACTTATTGGAGACAATCCTATTGGATGCATTGTTAGGTATTAAATGTAGGCATCTTTTTCAACGGTGATTTGAATATTGGTTCACCATGTGAAAGACTAGAGACTAGCCCCTTCCGTTAGACTTAACTCTTGCATTTTTTGTAAATAAATTATGAGTATTACATTAAATTTTATAAAGAATTTTGCATTAAAGACTAATGAGATGAGTGTTAGAAATAGAATTGGATGCACTCATATAGATATCGACAGTTATGAGACTAATTCTTAAAGGAATCCAAGCATCATTTAAGAGATTGTCATCTCCCTTGTGATGTTCTCTATGCACACCTATAGGAATTAAACTCTAAAATGATACTTAAGGGGCTAAGACTGCTATCATCTGTATCACACCCACTTGGTTGAGTAATGTAACTTTTAGGGAGAATTGTACCAAGGACCCTTAGAATGGACATATTTGCAAATAAGGCCCAAATATTTTGGGTATGTCTCCACAAGCCCAAGAGCTTATTGCAATTAAATTCCTTATTAAATGACCCAATTACCCCTTGCATTTTCTTCCCTTCCTCTTCTTCATTGCTCTTCCTTCTCTACCAACTGCCATTGATGTGGTCCTTCGTGGTTCATCCTACATCCTTGGCTTTTCTTCATTTGTGGACTTCAACTTGAGAATCCTCTACAATCATTATATTATATGTATACTGTGCGTTGAGATCTAAAGTAAAGGAAAGATTAGTGTAGATGAATTCTACAGAATAATAGGACTAGACAGTTCCGACATCTTTTAATTACAATAGAGAGAGATAGAATGATTGGTTTTATTTAAAAAAAAAAAGGCATAGAGATAGCATGATTGGAATTTCATTAAGGTTGTATGTTTGATTTGATTGAGGCCTAAGCTTTGTTCAAACTTTGCATCTTTGACAAGTACCTGTTTCCTAGCCCCACCATGAATTCAACTCCAGTATTAGCAAATGCACAAAGCACATGCGGATCCACATTATATAGCTTCACCTTGGTGGAGTCGATCGACTTTATCAGCTGCGCCACAATATCATATATATGAATGCATAATGCATCGAACAAGCGGACAGAGGAATGCACCAACATCTAAAGACATGGTATTAAGGTCTCCCTGATGCTCTGTTTAGATAAAAAGAAAAGTTGAAAGAAAAAAAAATAAAAAGAAGAAAAAATTAGAGAGATAATATTATCATCCTTTTTATTTGGATGAACAAGAGAAAATGAGGAGTAGCGAAAATAGACAAATGACATAATGACAATAGTATCCTTATATTAAAATATATTATTAGGTCATGATTGTTATTAAAATAAATTGAAGAAAAAAAAGACCATCTAAATATGTTAATACTAAATAATTTGGGAAATGAAATTAACTAACATTAATAAAAAGATAAAAAAGAAAATATACAAATATTGATTTATTTTTTAACGGAAAGTCTTTCATCACATTATTGTGTTTATTTAAAAAAAGAAGAAGAGGTAAATGTGTGTGTGACATTTCTAGTCCAGAGACAATGTTAAAAGGAAGGGAATAAGAATTTTCTTCTCAAAATTTCTCCACATGTGGAGAGAAAAGGTGAGAGGAAAAAGTGGTGGGACTCACTCTTTATTTTCTTTTCAACTTTTCTTTCCTTTCAATTTTCTCTTCCCAACCAAATATGAAAAAATGTGTTTTCTCTCCTTTTTTCTTTTCTAATTTTCTTTCTTTGCATAATTTCTTCCCATCCAAACAGGAGGTAAGAGTAGCTTTTGCAACACTTCTCATTTCAGGATCAAAGATCAGAATAATAAATGAAAGCAAAGGCCAATAATCTTAAGAAGGTATGAAAATGGTAGCTACCATAATAGCCACCAATATACCATTGCCCACATAGAACATATATGTAATAGAAATACTAAAAGGAGGAACTTGAAGGTCCAGGAGGTTGATAAGAGTTGGAATGCTTGAAGAAGATTTCCAGCAAACTTTAAGAAAATAGAAACAGCTAGAATGTGTGCATGCATTGTGGTCACTGATGTATAATTGAACTCCACCATTGTCAGTACCTTCATGGTCAAACACCAAAGTGAAATATGGCAACAAAAGTATAGCAGCAAGAATGGTAATTGGTTCCTTATGTTGATTAGTAATGCCAAAAATGAAAGAGCATTCTTGATACACATAATGATAAACTACAGAGGTTCTTTTCCATCCAACACCAAAACCCAAAGCAAATGATCAATCCTAAATCAACAAATTGGAAAGATAGCAAGAACATAACCTTTACTAGGGCAATAGATTAGTAGACATTTCAAATTGATTACAGTAAGCTGGCTCCACAATAAACATGTTGAACTCTAGTTTTGATAATTACAAAAAATAGAGAAGTTTGTTTTTGCATATAAGCGTTATTAGCAAATTTAAGGAAATAAGGTTTAAATGTTTATACTCTCTTAGTTTCTTTAACCTTAATTCTTTTCTATTATAGAAATAATTATTTGAATTATTTCTTATCAATGAATTAGTTCAACTTGAATTAAATAGAATTAAATCTGTTGTTGGATATATTCTTGAACATACTAGTATATGTCATGCATACCAGTATGTCAATGTCCTACCCATATGTATCACTTCTACCTAAATATCTAAACCTTATTTGATCTTGACACTGCTACTAATATATATGAACTTCTATCAGAAGATGTTCTTCCTGCCTAAATGATTGAGCCTACCTTGTGCATGTTACTTCTATTAGTATGTTGGACTTCTACCCAAATGTCTCACATCTATCTAAATGTCCAACTTACTACCCAAATGTCCTACTTGATTCTCAACATAAAATTTCTACCGATATGTCTCTGTTCTACCCAAATGCCTCTTTTCTACCCAAATATATTTGGAGCTACTGGTATATGACTTTAAGAATCAACTTCTTTTACATAAATCATTCCGGTATTACTCTCTTCTACTCGTATGAAGCTCTTCATTGTTTACATTAAAGCACTCATACTTCTATTAGTACATCTACATTTCTACAAGTATATCCTTAAAGAATTTAGCTCTATTTTTTTGTGACTTGGACAAAGCATCTCAAAGCCTTTCTAATCTTTAATCTTTTCTACTTCCAAATCTTGTACTTACTTTCTTATCATCCTAGAATACTCTTAAATGCAAGCATGGATGAATTCAAACTCCTATTCATTTCTTGATTCATCCTTTCTACCTGTATGACTTTGCTCTGATGGTATTACCTTCTTTTACCTTTTGTTAGAGCATTTATGTATACAGCCATTAACACATATAAATAATGGATATTATATGATACGTTGATATATAGATTTATATTGATGCTATCAATGTCAACATATAAATAAAATAAAAATTGTTGGTCATATTTTTAAATTAAAATTAAAATTCATTGTTTTGATTTTATAAAAAAAAAGCTTTTATAACAGTTTAAAATTATATTTTAATTTAGGGAATGACTAAGAATTTCAAAAAATATTAACTTATTATTGCATTATTCAGACAACCAAAACAAATCTCCCAAATTTCTCTCACGTTCAAGAGCCGAAAGAGTATGTTTTATTTGATTGTAGGGGGGTTAGTTCTCAAAATTTGTGATGAGTTTTAGCCCAGAGTGAAAATAAATCTTGGGCTCCATTAAAAAAAAAAATCCTTTTATGAATATAAAAAATAGACTCTACCAACAGCAAAACTTCTCTCAGAGATTTATGACAAATAATAGACCCCTTTCAACTAGTTGAGATTCTTCGACCAACAGATGTTGGTTTTAGTGAAAGAAACTATAACTTTTTAAATATGAGATTTTGAGTTTGAGTTCTTATGAAAGCAAAAATCACATTTGAGACTTAACTATCTTCTAATTAAACTTAACAATGCTTGAATATGACTCGATTAAATAGTTATGTAGAACAAAAATTCTTATGAGATTTGAAATTTAGTTGAATTTACTTCTCTTGTAATTGATCCCTCCATGTATGGGCTGGCACGGACCCTGAACCTGGAAGAATTGTGCCATGTTATATTGCAGTCCAACAAAGACATAGTTGTAGGCTCTATATCCAATGCATTAAGATGTATTTGTATTTGAATTCTTACCCTTTTCTCACTTACCATTGCGCTTTTTTTGTCCCAAATTATTTCTATAATATATACTTCATTTTCCTTTTAAAAAAACTGCTTTTGTGTAATTGGACCGTTGGTTCTTTATAAAGGGTAAATGGCATTTGAGTACCTTGTAAAAAGTTATATACACTTTGGTACCTATTTAAAATTGGTAATCGCACATAG